TTCCTTCCTTCCTTCCTTCCTTCCTTCCTTCCTTCCTTCCTTCCTTCCTTCCTTCCTGTTCTTATTCTCTTTCTCCTCCTCCCTCTCCTCTTCTTTCATCTTCTTTCTTTTCCCCAACTCAAGCACTGATCTTATGTATACGTACCTATTTAAATGAATAGATATGTAAACAAGAAATAACCGCTATATAATTTGAGTAGAAATAAAACACAGTTCCCCATCATTTTGAAAGCTGTAAACAGGTGCCCAGTTCACTTTGATTTTTGATGGATTCCCTTTGCAATGTCAACTGGGAAATTCTAAGTTTCTCTTCTTCAAATTCTGTAGTTTTAAACTCCAGCCTTGAAGTGGGAACTCTTTAAATACACAACTCGAAAGTGACTATTTGAGATCCCCAAGAAGATTGTCCACCATCTAGTATTAACATGCACCTACCCTGACAAGGAGTATTAGCAGCCTTATCAGGATAAGCTGATCCCCCATTCTCCACTCCATTTTTAAAAAATATGTAGGATGAAAGGTTAACAACAGAGGTGACGTTTTAGGAAATATATGAACACTATAAAGAGGAAATGCTTTCAATAAACTATCCTGTCCTACAAAAATTCTTGGTTATTAAATGCTCAGTTATTAATTAAAGTCAGGGCAAATGCATACCAAAATCTGGAAGAAAAGGCTTCAGCTCCACATAATACAGGATTGAGTTCTTACTCTAAAACCTTTATTCATCTCACCTTTGAATCTCATTCATCTCACCTCTGAAACAGGGATCAGGCATGTTTTGTTTTGTTTTTCCTTTCTGAGAAGTTATGGAAAACATGCAGAACTTGGCTTTTGGAATTCTTTCCAATCCAGGTGAAACAGGCCAGGGAAAGGAAGCTCTTAAGCAAAGCAATTCCCGCCCAACTTACTCATCTTTGGATGATTCCAGGTTTACAGATACATTTAAATATGAGGGGAAAGAAATAGATATTATCTATCTATATACTACTGTAATTCCTGAAACCCTTAACTGGGTGAAACAATGGACCATAAGCCAAAACATTTTGAACCAAGGTGCCTTAAATGGGTTAATTTATAGAATGTGTCCAAAATCAAGGACCTATGACTGCCAAGAAATTGAAGTGTGTCAAATTTTATAAAACATTTTATGACATAAATATTATCATAAAGCAGTTTGTGACATGATGCAAAATGTCATAAAACATTTCCTGAGAGAAGATTAAATGGTGGCCCTTTATCATGGATTGACCCCATGTTTTTGTTATTTTAATGTTTTATGTTTTAATTGGTTGTGTTTTTAAATGATTTTATACATCTTTTAATTCTTGATTGGGAGGCATTTAGAGATGGTTGAAAAATATATGGCTATATAAAAGTTATAAATAAAATAAAATAAATAAATAAATATACTCTGCTCACTGTCCTCTACAGTTTAACATGGGCTATTTTAGATAGATAAGGTAGATATATCTCAGAATTTTCAGTGAGTATTGTACACTAGAAGTTCTGTCATTATTGAAAGCATTTAGTAATCTGTTAAAGAAATGTCTCTGAAACTATGACCCAACAGGCATGGGTTGTCTAATCTACGTACTACTAAAACTCAGGTTCCTATTTATTTATTTATTTATTTATTTATTTATTTATTTATTTATTTATTTATTATTATTTATTTATTAAATTTTTATACCGCCCCCTCTCCTGAAGACTCGGGGCGGTGAACAGCCAAAATTAAAAACACACAATACAAATATTAAAATACATTAAAATGAAATTAAATATAATATAACCTGGTTTCACCTGGTTAATATAACCATTAACCGGGTGAAACAATGCCCCATAGGGCAAAACCTTTTGAACCAAAGTACTTCCAATGGACTAACAGAATGCACCCAAAATCTGGGACCCGTGATTCCTGTGGGATTAAAATTAGACAAATAAAAAAAATTATGACACCAATATTATCATAAAATAGTTTATGATATAATACAACATATTCTATGCTGATGTTTGACTATAGTATACATATCAACGCCTGCTATTTTCAAGGCAGATACATCCCTGAATATATCGCAGTCTTTCCAGTGAAGGCTATGCATTACAATCTGTCTCATTATTAAAGGTAATAAAGAATCTGATAAGGAAATATCTCCGAAAGGATGACCTAAGGCAGTGATGACAAACCTTTTTGGCGTTGCGTGCCAAAAGTCAGAGTATGTGAGCGCTCTTGCGTTCGCACGTACCAGCATCCATAATGCAATGTGGGCTCCCATTTGTACATCTGTGCATGACCCCCAACACGCTACCCCTGTGCATGTGCCCTGCACTGCACGTGCACACATGCACCCAGAACTGTGCATGCACCCTCACTGCTCATGCGCGCTCCCCCACGCATGCACCCCCACTTTTTCAAAGAAGGCTGGCATTCCCTGGGAACCAGGGAAGAAAGCGTTTTTGGGCGACAGCACTGCAATCCCCTCCCCGAATCCAAAAATAGGGCTTGTGGAAGCTAACAAAGTGGATTGCGTTTCAGGCGGTGGCTGGTTCCAGCCAGCATTGTCACCAGAAAACACTTTCCTCCCTGGCTCCCTGATGCACATTGCAGAGCCTCATGCCGTCCTCCTCCTTCTCCACAGACTCACCTTCTCTTTCCTCCTGGGCCAAGAGCAGAAGCCGACCACCCTCCGCCTGGGTCATCTGGAGAAGGGTCAGGCAGAGCAGCTTAAGGCCTTGCCTTACACCTCCTGGACAGTGCCCGAAACCGTGATGCTCTTATTTTGCCTCCGCATGACCCGTATTTAGAATCGGGGAGGCAGTGGAGATCTCCAGGCAGCTGAGATTGCAGCAATAGTGTTTTCGGGTGGCAGTGGCCATGGTGGGGGTTGGCTGACGGGCCCAACTGCAGGCAGCATAGCACCCCTACCCGACCCCCGCCGCTACACCGCCAGCCAAGCCTGGCCATATGCCGGGGAAGGAGCCGCAGGTGGGGCAGCCACCCACCCTGCCAGCAAATGCTGCCCCATGCACCTGAGCCGGCCGGTCACTCTTGCCCTTGCCCCTGCAGCTTCCACTGCTGCTGCTCTTCTGGGGCGGTGCATCTGCACAGAAGGAACGCAGCCAATCCGATCCGCATGGCTGGTGGAGCAAGTGAGGCGCCTCGGCCCTGCTTTGATGGCAGCCACGGGATCATCTGCGTAGGCAGCCCACCACCATCCCTCCCTCACAGATTGCTGGTCCGCCAAAGCCTCACCATTTGCACCTGCTCGGCCTGCGGCTCCCAGCGGGAGGAGCCCAGACAAGGCCACATGTTCGGAGCTTCCCCGGCCAGCACATGGCACTGCCAAGGGAATAGCGGCTCCCAGTGGGGAGGAGCCCAGGCAAGGCCACATGTTTGGAGCTTCCCCGGCCAGGTGGCAGGGCGGCTCCCAGCAGGGAGGAGCCCAGGCCATGGAGTCATCTGTGCAGGCAGCCCACCATCACCAGCACACCCTCACCAGTTGCTGGTCCACTGGTGCTCTGGACCGCCTGGGACCACGCAAGAAGCTTGTGCAGGCAGAGATGGAGGGAAGTCTCAACTTACCTTGCTCTGCTCCCTTAGGAAGTGACCACCGGGATTCCCTCTCTGCGTCTTTTGGCATGTGCGCCTGTTGCTGCTCTTCGTGCACACACGCACACCAGAAACCAGACCAGGTGGCCGGTGCACATGCGCACTCTGGAAACAGGAAGGTAATCTTCCTGGAATGCACATGCGCAATGGGCAGCTGCTCTTCCGGTTTCCGGCATGCCTGTGCACATGAAAACCAGCTGCCCAGCGCACCAGAACCCGGAAGAGTAACGGGTGATGGCTCTGCGTGCCCGGAGAAATGGCTCTGCATGCCACTTCTGGCACGCATGCCATAGGTTCGCCATCATGGACCTAAGGGGTCATGGATGGATTCTAGTTGCACATTTAATCATCACCCTTT